AGAACTAGAACAGAACTAGAACAGAACTAGAACAGAACAGAACTAGAATAGAACTAGAACAGAACTAGAACAGAACTAGAACAGAACTAGAACTGAACTAGAACTAGAACTGAACTAGAACTGAACTAGAACTAGAACTGAACTTGAACTAAACTAGAACTGAACTAGAACTGAACTAGAACAGAACTATATATATACACCAATGATTTAAAATTTTTAAAAATTTTAGATATGTTACAAAGTTTTTGTCTTAAGTCTTTTGTTTTTTTGTCGAATAATTGAAATTCTTTTGTGAAACTGTTGTTTTTTTTTGCGAAATTTTATATACATAAATATTAAAGTTTGGAGGAACATTGTTCAAACATGTATAAAATGGTGATCATTTTCAAAATATTAAATATATACGTAGAATTATTTTGTCTTGGTTTGCTTTGTTTTGAATTGCAAAGTTTTGGTCTTAAGTCTTTTGTTTTAGTTGAAGTATGTATTAGAAATTTGTTTCTTTAGCCTGCATTTTACAAATTTTTAAGTTTTAAAGCAAAAACTTCAATAAATATTCCAACTTTAGTTTAAATATCTGATTTGTTGGGCGAATTTCAATCTTAATATGTCTGATTTGTTTGTTTTGTATATTTCCTTAATAAGTAATTTTATACAAAAGTGTTGAAAACTATTTACAGTTGTTCTTTTTTTTTCGCAAACTGGCATTGTCATTTCAAAAAAATTGTTTCCCATGGAAAATCTAGATTTCAACAGTATTTCAACTATTGTTCTGTAAATAAATTAGATGATTGAAAAAATACAACGACAACTAAGTAAAATTAATTTACTAAAATGTTTAAGTTGTAGGGTTTTTAACAAATTCTGTTAAGGTGAAAAAATAGAAACAACAGTAGCCACAAAAAAATCTAGAAAAAAAACAAACAACAACCGATCATGACACGAAAACTGCAAATTACTAGGTTTATGCCTTAGAAATAAAACAACAACAATATTTACCACACAAACCTCCAGATCCTATATGATGGGAAAAAATCTTGATTTTTACTATTTTACAAGCTATTGTTGTAAATTAAGAAAAAAAAATTAACAAAATTTATTACTAAAAAAAAAAACTAAATGTTAGTGCAAAATGCATCAACGAGTTCTCTAAAAAAAATAATTAAATATAATTATTTTCTTTTTTAACAAATTAAGGAAATCCTAAAAATTTCTTTATTGATTTATAGTTTTAAGTCTACAAAATTTATTTATAAATTTTCTTCTTAAACTAAAAACTAAATCGCATGTCATGTTTAATTGCCTCATTTAGTTTACATCTAAAAGAAAACTTATCAAACCAAATAAAACAATTGTTCCAGGAAACTTTAAATTAGTTTAACAAAAACTTATTTTTTTGTGTAACTTAATGGCAATTTTTTTTTTATATAAAAAGTTCATTGCTCTTGTTTTTTTATATTAACAAATTCGTCTTGCAAAATCTTTGCTATTGCGAAATTTGTGGGAATTTTTTTTTTTAAATATTTTTAAGAAAATTGTTAAAGTTGTTTTTTTTTCATAAGTTCATGTGAATTATTTGTGGTTTGAATACAGTTTTTTATAAAAAAAACTAATATAGTTAAATGTTGTACGGTTGAATCAACCAATTAGATTAAAGGAAGTCAACTCCATTGTTTACATTCAACCAATAAGAAACGAGATAAATCCAATCATCTCTTTCTAACTTAAAAGACAAAAGTGTAAAAAAACAGAAAGAGTAGATTTTATTTTGAAAAGTTACAGTGGTAATGCAAGAGAAAATACACAACAAAATCTTGAAATCTCTCACAACAAATAAAGAGTTGAATATAGACTATACTATAGACTAAACTCTACAATAGACAAGACTATGGCCTAGACTATAGACTAGACTATAGACTAGACTATAGACTAGACTATAGACTAGACTATAGACTAGACTATAGACTAGACTATAGACTAGACTATAGACTAGACTATAGACTAGACTATAGACTAGACTATAGACTAGACTATAGACTAGACTATAGACTAGACTATAGACTAGACTATAGACTACTAGACTAGACTATAGACTAGACTATAGACTAGACTATAGACTAGACTATAGACTAGACTAGACTAGACTATAGACTAGACTATAGACCTAGACTATAGAATAGACTAGACTAGACTATAGACTAGACTAGACTATAGACTAGACTAGACTATAGACTAGACTATAGACTAGACTAGACTATAGACTAGACTATAGACTAGACTATAGACTAGACTATAGACTAGACTATAGACTAGACTATAGACTAGACTATAGACTAGACTATAGACTAGACTATAGACTAGACTATAGACTAGACTATAGACTAGACTATAGACTAGACTATAGACTAGACTATAGACTAGACTATAGACTAGACTATAGACTAGACTATAGACTAGATTATAGACTAGACTATAGACTAGACTAGACTATAGACTAGACTATAGACTAGACTATAGACTAGACTATAGACTAGACTATAGACTAGACTATAGACTAGACTATAGACTAGACTATAGAGACTATAGACTAGACTATAGACTAGACTATAGACTAGACTATAGACTAGACTATAGACTAGACTATAGACTAGACTATAGACTAGACTATAGACTAGACTATAGACTAGACTATAGACTAGACTATAGACTAGACTATAGACTATATAGACTAGACTATAGACTAGACTATAGACTAGACTATAGACTAGACTATAGACTAGACTATAGACTAGACTATAGACTAGACTATAGACTAGACTATAGACTAGACTATAGACTAACTATAGACTAGACTATAGACTAGACTATAGACTAGACTATAGACTAGACTATAGACTAGACTATAGACTAGACTATAGACTAGACTATAGACTAGACTATAGACTAGATAGACTAGACTATAGACTAGACTATAGACTAGACTATAGACTAGACTATAGACTAGACTATAGACTAGACTATAGACTAGACTATAGACTAGACTATTGACTAGACTAAAGAATAGACTATAGACTAGACTATAGATTAGACTAGATTAGACTATGGACTAGAGTATAAACTAGATTATAGAATCAACTATAGACTAGACCATATGCTAAACCTGAACTAGAACTGAACTAGAACTGAACTAGAACTGAACTAGAACTGAACTAGAACTGAACTAGAACTGAATTAGAACTGAACTAGAACTGAACTAGAACTGAACTAGAACTAAACTAGAACTGAACTAGAACTGAACTAGAACTGAACTAGAACTGAACTAGAACTGAACTAGAACTGAACTAGAACTGAACTAGAACTGAACTAGAACTGAACTAGAACTGAACTAGAACTGAACTAGAACTGAACTAGAACTGAACTAGAACTGAACTAGAACTAGAACTGAACTAGAGCTGAACTAGAACTGAACTAGAACTGAACTAGAACTGAACTAGAACTGAACTAGAACTGAATTAGAACTGAATTAGAACTGAACTAGAACTGAACTAGAACTGAACTAGAACTGAACTAGAACTGAACTAGAATATAACTTGATTTGATCTAGAAACGAATTATAACTGATTTGGAACTGAACTAGAACTTCATATCGAACTGAACTTTTTATTAAAAGAGATCAGATGTAGCATAAACCATGTATCACTAATACCGACAGAATATTGAAAGGGTAATTAAAAATAATAGCATGTTACAGAATCAATAAAACAGTGAATACTTATTGTGTTGTAATGATCGTTGCTTTGTTTGTATGTAATTCTTGCTTTCAATGTTCTGTCCAACTGTTACACTATCCACTTTAGGAAATAATGCAATGTAAGCAATTATATAGTATATAATCGGTTTTGATTCGATTTTTTAATAAAGAACACACTTCGCTTTACTATTAAAGAGCAGTCGCTTAGCTCTTGCGAAGATTGACCAAATATAACTTTGTTTTTATTAAGAACCTTTCTATATAGTAGTAGAACGGAATTAGATTTAATATCGAATTTATCTTGGATTTTACAAAAATTGAAATAGAACGGAATTAGAGTTGAAGTAGAACGGAACTATAATTAAAGTGGAATTAGAATTGATCGGGATTTGAGCTAGAATTATTTGAATTACTTTAATATAAACTCGATTACATTTTTAATTAAAACCATTGTTTATATTTTTTATAAATATATATATTTATTGTATAAATTATATACTTTTAGTTTTGATTACAAAATATAACTATAATTGTAAAAATTATTAAAAAAAAGGATTTTGTTTTTGTTTTTTTTTTTTTTTTTTTTTTGTTCATACATAATTCATATATAGTGTTTTTGCATTTATTTTTTGCTTAACTTTTGATTTAAAACTCAATTTGTTTTCAACAATATAAGGCGATTACACAAAAATTTTATCAAATATTTTAAACAATTTTTATAAACGATTTCTTTTACTAGAATTTTTTTAACAATTTCGAAAAACTATATATATTAATATAAAACCAAACATATTGCAGTTTAATGTAATCAAATTTTAAATATATAAAACTTACTATTTTTTCTTGTTTTCTGTTCACTTTTTCGATTGTCTTACTTAAAAACTAATAAATAAAATATGCAAATAAATAATTAAGTTATTTTTAATTATAGAAATTAAAAAAAGAAATTAAATATTTTTGTTAATTAGGAAAAAATAAGGAAAAGAAAAATAAACATTAAAATTAATTTGTTCAAATTAACAAAAGAAAAGAGAGGACATACATATAGAGAAATAAAAGAACACCTTTTTTGGGAAAAATATTTAGTATAAATATAGTTTATAAGTTAATGTTAAAATTACAAAAATAACCAAATGTTTTGAAACTTAAAAATAAATTTCTTTAGATTAGAATTTTAAGAAAAAAAGGTGAATATTATTATAAATTTTATATAATTAAAAATTTAACAATAGCATTAGATGATGATTAGTTTTTTTTTTTTTTTATTTTCATTTAAAAAATTTAATTAATTTGCGCGTATAGTACGATTTTTGTTCATATTTGTCAACATTAATGATATATAGGATGTTAATAAATCATCCATTTTATAGCCCAATGAGGTCTCACACAATAGTTTTGAGCCTCTAACCAAATTGCCAATTGTCATATGGAAATAAGTATTGCCCGAAGACCAATTCGAAATACGAGTAAAGGGATGAGTGATTAAAATGTCCTGGAATTGAATATATATAATGTTATTACTTTTTTGACATGGATTTTGTTAAAAAAAAACTTACCTTTGTAACGGGATGTATTAAACTAACACCATGCTTATTTATAGCTATCAATAACATTTCAGGATAATTGGGTTCAGTCGTTTGTTTAACTTCAAAGAAGGCTGAGCCAAAAGTGGGCCATCTTTAAATAGAAAAAGAAAAAATCCAATAAGCAGATCATTTAAAAAACTGAACTAGAACTGAACTAGAACTGAACTAGAACTGAACTAGAACTGAACTAGAACTGAACTAGAACTGAACTAGAACTGAACTAGAACTAAACTAGAACTGAACTAGAACTGAACTAGAACTAAACTAGAACTGAACTAGAACTGAACTAGAAATGAACTAGAACTGAACTAGAACTGAACTAAAACTGAACTAGAACTGAACTAGAACGGAACTAGAACGGAACTAGAACTGAACTAAAACTGAACTAGAACTGAACTAGAACTGAACTAGAACTGAACTAGAACTGAACTAGAACTGAACTAGAACTGAACTAGAACTGAACTAGAACTGAACTAGAACTGAACTAGAACTGAACTAGAACTGAACTAGAACTGAACTAGAACTGAACTAGAACTGAACTAGAACTGAACTAGAACTGAACTAGAACTGAACTAGAACTGAATTAGAACTGAACTGGAACTGAACTAAACTGAACTAGAACTGAACTAGAACTGAACTAGAACTGAACTAGAACTGAACTAGAACTGAACTAGAACTGAACTAGAACTGAACTAGAACTGAACTAGAACTGAACTAGAACTGAACTAGAACTGAACTAGAACTGAACTAGAACTGAACTAGAACTGAACTAGAACTGAACTAGAACTGAACTAGAACTGAACTAGAACTGAACTAGAACTGAACTAGAACTGAACTAGAACTGAACTAGAACTGAACTAGAACTGAACTAGAACTGAACTAGAACTGAACTAGAACTGAACTAGAACTGAACTAGAACTGAACTAGAACTGAACTAGAACTGAACAGAACTGAACTAGAACTGAACTAAAATTGAACTAGAACTGAACTAGAACTGAACTAGAAATGAACTAGAAAAGAACTAGAACTGAACTAGAACCGAACTAGAACTGAACTAGAACTAAACTAGAACTAAACTAGAACTGAACTTGAACTGAACTAGAACTGAACTAGAACTGAACTAGAACTGAACTAGAACTGAACTAGAACTGAACTAGAACTGAACTAGAACTGAACTAGAACTGAACTAGAACTGAACTAGAACTGAACTAGAACTGAATTAGAACTGAACTAGAACTAAACTAGAACTGTACTAGAACTGAACTAGAACTGAACTAGAACTGAACTAGAACTGAACTAGAACTGAACTAGAACCGAACTAGAACTAAACTAGAACTGAACTTGAACTGAACTAGAACTGAACTAGAACTGAACTAGAACTGAACTAGAACCGAACTAGAACTGAACTAGAACTAAACTAGAACTGAACTTGAACTGAACTAGAACTTGAACTGAACAAGAACTGAACTAGAACTGAACTAGAACTGAACTAGAACTGAACTAGAACTGAACTAGAACTGAACTAGAACTGAACTAGAACTGAACTAGAACTGAACTAGAACTGAACTAGAAATGAACTAGAACTGAACTAGAACTGAACTAGAACCGAACTAGAACTGAACTAGAACTAAACTAGAACTAAACTAGAACTGAACTTGAACTGAACTAGAAATGAACTAGAACTGAACTAGAACTGAACTAGAACTGAACTAGAACTGAACTAGAACTGAACTAGAACTGAACTAGAACTGAACTAGAACTGAACTAGAACTGAACTAGAACTGAATTAGAACTGAACTAGAACTAAACTAGAACTGTACTAGAACTGAACTAGAACTGAACTAGAACTGAACTAGAACTGAACTAGAACTGAACTAGAACCGAACTAGAACTAGAACTAAACTAGAACTGAACTTGAACTGAACTAGAACTGAACTAGAACTGAACTAGAACTGAACTAGAACTGAACTAGAACTGAACTAGAACCGAACTAGAACTGAACTAGAACTAAACTAGAACTGAACTTGAACTGAACTAGAACTTGAACTGAACTAGAACTGAACTAGAACTGAACTAGAACTGAACTAGAACTGAACTAGAACTGAACTAGAACTGAACTAGAACTGAACTAGAACTGAACTAGAACTGAACTAGAACTGAACTAGAACTGAACTAGAACTGAACTAGAACTGAACTAGAACTGAACTAGAACTGAACTAGAACTGAACTAGAACTAAACTAGAACTCAATTAGAACTGAACTAGAACTGAACTAAAACTGAAGTAGAACAGAACTAGTGAACTAGAACTAAACTAGAACTAAACTAGAACTGAACTAGAACTGTACTAGAACTAAACTAGAACTGAACTAGAACTGAACTAGAACTGAACTAGAACTGAACTAGAACTGAACTAGAACTGAACTAGAACTGAACTAGAACTGAACTAGAACTGAACTAGAACTGAACTAGAACTGAACTAGAACTGAACTAAAATTGAACTAGAACTGAACTAGAACTGAACTAGAACTAAACTAGAACTAAACTAGAACTGAACTAGAACTAAACTAGAACTTAACTAGAACTAAACTAGAACTGAATTAGAACTGAACTAGAACTAAACTAGAACTGTACTAGAACTGAACTAGTGCTGATCTAGAACTAAATTTTCAGTTTCCTTACCTATAAACAATTTTAAGAAAAGCGACTTTAGCATCTTCAGAACTCATGCCGGAATCTTGATTATAGGAAGCAACTATGGCTCGTTTCCATTCACTAGTACTTTGCATTTTCATTAAATCGGAGGGTATCAATTCACGCAGCATTTGTCTGAAATTTTTTTAATGAAAATTAAATAACAACTCCGAAAGTCTTAATTTTAACTCTAACAAACTTACGGTATGGCCTGCAATTCTTGTTTATTATCACCATAACGTACACGATATACTAAAGCCGCCAATTTGGCAGCCTCTTCACGCGAACACTTATGGTAACCCCTTAATAGTTTTGGCAGCTCCTGATGATAATGGAATATCAAATCAGCATTACGATCCTTGCCGGGCACAGTATTTGTCCACAATTTTTTCATAAAGAAAACTTGATAAGTAAATTGAGGATTAGTGCCATCACGTATGGGTCTGGCCTTTTTAATCCAATCCGTTAGATGTCGTACAAAGTCAAAGAAGAAATCTCCCTCCGGTACGGATATAACTTTATCGGCAATTTTCACGAATAGCGAAAAACCCTCACTGGTGCGTAGCGACAAACGTTGTGAGATATTGTGGCAAAAATCTTTGGCCCTGGTAGAGGAGTCCACCTCAAAAGCCTCATCAGTATCGTCGGGGAAATATACTTTATGGAATATTTGTGTAGTTTTGTGTTGTATGGCCTCCACTTCAACCTGATGAGGAGGATATTTACGTTGACCATTGCGTATGGTTTTCTGCAGACGATGTAGGGAATCTTGTGATATAGGATGTCGTCGGGTTCTTAGGAACAGTGTTAATTCCTTAAGTAAACCCTGTGAACAGGCGAAAAGACCAGTGGCCAACCACATTAGTTCCCAGCCTCGTTCCTCAGAAATGCGATTACGATTATCGGTTAACTGCTTCATAATTTGACAATAGATTTCATCTCTTAGGATTTCATGTTTGAGCGGACCATCGAATATATGATCGGTAATTTCATTACCCATTCGGGGCCGTTTAGAGGGTAAATCTCCCATGTATTTCAAAATAGCGGCAAAAGCAAAACAAGCCTCTTCCGCTAATTCCTCTTTAGACTGTAATTTCCTAAGTAAAGGCGCCTTAATAGGATCACGAGAATAACGCCATATCTCCTCTGATCGTTTCGAACTTAAGGTAAGAGTTTTGGAAACCGTTCTCTTGGGTGGCAAACGGAAATGATCCATGGCATATTCCATTAAAGTATGAGGTCTGTCACGGGTTTCGGTAACACCATTTGATACCATACTTAAACGTCTGCCATGATGAGCTTCCTCGATATTAAACAAAGCCAAAATGTCTTGGGGAGGCTTGGATAGAGTGGGTAAAACATAAACAGTTTCGGCTGGGAAGTCTCCCCTTTCCTGGGAACGTTCGCAACGGCCTATACACCAGCCATTATTCAAAACATTCTCACCACAACTTTCATCCTCTAGAATAATTAAGTCTCCCTTAAAGAAAGACAAGAAACTGGAGCCATCCGAGGGAGCACGATAGTCTTGTATAGCAATAACAAATTTGGATCTGTGGGAAGGAAGGGAAAATAAAAATTGGTTTCTTATAAAGGATTTAATGAAACCTACCTTTTCTTTAAACCATCCAAAAAGTAAACCACCAAATCTCTAATATCCTCAGCATTGGGACTTTGGAAAGTGAACTCTTCACCCCTCACCGTAGATAAACTAAACGTTTGCGTAAAAACTTTATTAGTTTTTTGACTGGACACAGCGGTAATTTCCGGAAAACTCAATTCCAATAACACCTGTTCCTGATCATCGACCACATACACCCCCGTCCAGTTGACGGCTATAATAACATCATTTTTGGGCAGATTAGGACCAGAATTACGATAGGCCTCATAGAATCTGGAAAATAATAAAGGCCATTTATACTTGGCATAACTGACTATATCCTCCTTGATCTTTAGCGAGGCTATTTTCTCCTTAACATAATATGACTTCTTATAGGCCTGTAAAACTAAGGCAGCCCAACGTTCTATGGCCTTATCGATGCCGGTGAGACAAAAATCGGGTATGAAATTGGGCAGCAAAGTAAACAGTCTTTCCATGGACATATCGGTGCCATATTCTATGAAATACTGTTGGGCCGCTATCATGGCCAAATCCTCTTCCTTGTCACAGCGATACTCGCCGAATTTGACACCTCTAACCACTTGCTGATAAATGAGATTCGTGGCCACCTGATCAAAGGTGGGATCATGCCAGGGAGCAAATATTTCCTTACGGAAGAATAAACGCCAGGGAGCATTACGTTCCTGGGCACCCTGTTCCTTGGCATATTGTTCACACTGGGAAATGGCATCCATAACATGATCACCACCACTGCCCAAAGAAGAAACCTTGTCGAACAGGGCTATATAAAGCGAGAAACCAAACTGATCTTTTAGGGTAATCTTATCCGACAATTGATTGCACAATTCCCTAGCGGTGGTGGCAGAATCGGCCAGCAAAGTCTTGGTATTGCCATCCATAAATGTTATGGGCAACATTATGGGTTTTTTCGATTTGGTGGCCTGCAGTTCCAGCCACGAAGGAGGCTGATTACGAGTGCCATTATTAAAGGTTCTCTTCAAACGTTCCTCACAGTAAGGAGCATATCCTGGAGGACCCTCCCTTATAAAGGCCCTTAGATAATTAACAAATTTCTCCGAGGGAGCAAAACAACCCACACACAATGACAGCAAAATCCAGCCTCGAGCATGAGAGGATTTCAAAGGATTATTGGTTAATTGTTTGCATATCTGACAATAGATTTCATCTCTTAGCTCAGCCCTTAAAATACCATGGCCTATAATGAAATGCAACTTTTCGAGATTTGAAGTAGGACGCGATTGCAGCCAGGATTGATAGCTATCAGCAGTGTACTCCTCATCTTGCAGACGTCTTCTAACATCTTCACCCAATTTGTTTTTGCGTTTTAATGTCAAAGAAACTAGTTTGTGTCTTATGGAACGGGGTTTTTGCTTGAGAAAAGCTTCTGGGTCCAAACCCATAAGTTGGGCTTCTTGGAATTCCTAAAGGGGGTAAAAAAGTTAATCAGGAACACTATAATTGATGTTTAAATTAATAAAACTCACCTTGCTTCTGATAAAGTTTCTACCCAAAGTAGCGGTAACTTTAGACATTACCGAGGTGGTATCCATGCGATCCATGGTATGATATTTAGGTTCCGGCATATCACCAGTAAACCTCAAAATAGTAATCCATAAAGCTTGGGCCGCTAATTGATCACCTTGCGTATGCAAAGGTAGTAAAGGATGTTTCAAAGCCTTCTTGGAGTATTGATGATTGACATTGCCTTGGAAATAAGTGGCAGCGAATTTTTGGAATTTGAACTCCGATAAATCTTCCTCATCCTCGGAAATATGCATGGGTCCAATGCAATCCTATAAAAGAAACATAAACTTGAATAAAGAATTTAGATTTCTAAAAGAGAAAACTACCTCTTGATTGACATGCTGGCCATGAGGCAAATCATTAAACACCGAGGTTTCTCGGCCACCATGCGGTGTCGGGGCCTCACTACTGGAATCGGGTAGAAAATCAAACATGGCCTCCACCAGTTTGCCATCATCTACCGGTTCATCCTGCTTGCGGGCGGCATCATTAATCAAATTCTTCTTAACTTCTACTCGCCTTCGCTCCTCAATTTCCTGTTCCATTTCTCGGCGCTCCATTTCATGCAGACGATCTCGGTAGTGTTGCTCCGCTATCTCTCGAGCATGTTTATTGCCCTTATGCATGAGTTCTTGCTCTTCCAGTTTGCGCAAATGCAAAACCTCGGCAAACTTTTTATATTCCTCCCTTAGTTTGTTATATTTGCGCATGGCTATCATTCTTCGGACATGCGATTGAATCTTAATTATGGCCCACATTTTATGGCCATATTCACGACGCACCAAATAGCCACGAGCGTGGGCCTGCAAACCCACTATATGGCCTCTTAGGTGGCGGAAACGATGCGACAAAACTCTGGAACGTATCAAAGCCTGCAAACGCATATAGCCCACACGCATTTTCTCATAACGTTTACGCTGGGCATAACCCTTCCAATAGCGTTGCACGGTTATGGCTGCGGCCCGCATGCGCAAGAACCGCCTGCGATAAACCCAGCCTCTAATGGTGCGTTGTAAAATCAAGATCTTACGCGTTAAAACACGATCACGTTCCTGTTCCAAAAACAAATCGTGGGCATCTTTAAGGAAAACTTTAGTGTGACCCAATTGATAATCGGATTTACCCAAAACGGCGGCACATATGCGCGACGTAGCCAAACGGCAATCGGTTCTATGAGCCGGCGGTACTCCCGGTATCAGAAATCTATAACGTTCCACAAAATCTCGAAAACCATGGCGTATGGGATAACCTGCTCTTCTTATACGTATAGTTTCCATCATGCCCGAATAACGCAGTTGCCGGCAGCATAAACCTCGATCAAACATCATGGGTTTCTTGACCTCATTGGGCTTAATGCAACGTATAAAGAAAGGCTGGCAGGAGCACAATGTCTTCATCAAAGCATCTAAACTCTTCTTAAACTGTGTCGATAAGGTGGGTGTGCGCTTGCGTGTCTCGGCGCCCATTTCTATATCCTGGCTGAATATTTGTCTCAAAAACTTATTACTACTCTGACTAACTAGATGCAGTAAATCGGGACTAAAAGTATCACGATTCTTGTCTAAGAAACCACTAGTATCATAGAACACCACGCCAGCGAAATGGTTCAAGCCAAAACTGGTATTAATATCCGATTTGGGTTTCAAGTAGTTCTTATGGGTACCATGGGTTTTGTGCAATTTAGCCAGCATAGTGTGATCCGTGCCCTTGGGAAAACGGGCCTCTTCATCTATTAAAGCCATAATGTTCAACTGTTTAATGGCTATCAAATCCAAGGCATCTTGATTATCCACAAACTCTATATGCTGCCAGTTAATGCCCTCATGATTGTATTCCTCCTGTTCCAACTTGAAAATGTGCTGTACAAAGAACTGCTGCAAGTTCTCATTGGCATAATTAATACAGAATTGTTCAAAACTATTCTGATCGAAATTCTCAAAACCAAATATATCCAAAACACCTATAGCATTACGCGAAGTGGCCCGGGGCTTATAAATAGCCGTATTTATCTTGCGCACTATATGCACAAACAAACGACCATATATGCCCTTGACAAAGGCATCACGCACATCTACCGACTGATCACGCGAAAGTGTTGAAACCACTGTCTCACCATGAGCAAAGAGTGTACGCCGGGTTAGAGCATCCATTAAAGGTTGCATGGGCAGACCTAGAAGAGCCGCAACACGCTCTACATTTATATGTTCGGGAATTTCGGTAGCATCTAAATTGTCCACCACTGTGGCTTTATACTTAATGTTGCCGCAATGCAGAAGGGCCGCTAACAGTTTAATTATTTCCCAAATTTCTTGATCAGTGAAGAGCAGAACTTTCATGGCCGAACGTATGTCGGAAAATTCAGCAGTATCATCTCGGCCCTCACAGGTAATGCAGTCACCGCCCGTTAGATATCTAAAGGAAAGAAAAAAAATATTGGAATAAGTCTAGTACGAACTATAGTCTGACCCATAGTATAGCCTATAGTCTGGCATATAGTACGGACCATAGTATGGACTATAGTCTAACCTATAACCTAGTCTAAATTCTAGTCTATAGTCTAGTCTTTAGTCTATTTTATAGTCTGGACTATAGATCATAGTCTATTTTATAGTCTGGACTATAATCTAGCTCATATTCTGGAATATAGTCTAGTCTATATTTTAGACCATAGTCTAGTCTTTAGTCTATTTTATAGTCTGGACTATATTCTATTATATAGTCTGGACTAAATTCTATTCTATAGTCTGGACTATAGTGTATTCTAAAGTCTGGACTATTGTCTATTCTAAAGTCTGGACTATAGTCTAGACTATAGTCTATTCTATAGTCTGGACTATAGTCTATTCTGTAGTCTGAAATATAGTCTATTCTGTAGTCTGAAATATAGTCCAGCCTATAGTCTGAAGTCTGGAGCTTAAGTTGTTGAGGCTACTTACTTATAATCCGATGCATTGCCCAAATCCAAACGTCTCTTCTCCTCGGCCGATAAACCCGCCAATATACAATAAAATATATGATAATTACGTTCACTATGATTCTGTGAAACAATACGAGATTTCTCTAAAAGATATTGTTCGATTTTGGCTCCCTCTATAACGCCATTGGCACTAAAGTGTATATCAATATATTTGCCAAATCTGTAAGAAAAATTAAAGAAGTCAAATTTACCGATCAGATACTTATATATAATTCCATTAAATAAACTCACCTAGAGGAATTATCATTTCGTACAGTCTTAGCATTACCAAAAGCTTCCAAGATAGGATTAGCTTCTAATATCTGCTGTTCAATCCATGAGTGTTTACCGCTAATGGCTGCCAAATATTGTAAAATTAATTTTGTGCTCTCCGTCTTACCGGCACCCGATTCACCCGATATTACTATACATTGATCCTGGCGATAACGTTTCATATGAGCATAGGCATTATCGCCTATAGCAAAGATATGCGGCGGCAATTCTCCTATCTTACGTTCTTTATATAGTTTAATTTGATCGGCCGTATAGATGGGTAGTATTTGATAAGGATTGACAGCCACCAAAATGGAACCGGTGTAGGTCTGTAAGGTTATGGAACAATTTTCAATAAATAAAAGTTAACGTATGGATCATGTTTAACTCACATATATTAAATTATCTTTGTAACGTATTAATAAATTTCTTAAAATTCCCGCTTCATGTAGATCTCCCAAGGAGATCATGTCTTCCACACCTTGCACCGAAGAGGCATGCATTGCTTTAATGCGCCTCTCGGGCGATAACCATATCTCGTCACCATCATCATCACGTACTTGTATGCGCCTTCCCTCCGCTGATATGACACGAGCACCAATGGCTACATCGAATTCTCTGCCCGTAGCGGGTTCTATCCAGATGTAGTCACCCTGAAATTAGAAAAAAAATATATCATTATCAATAATGTCATCGCTTATAATGTAGTAAATAGTTAGAACTACAACAGTCTAGTCCATACTCTTGACAACTATATAATCTACTACTAATATTAGCCTTTAGTTTCGACTATGGTCTAGTCTGCAGACTATAGTCTACACTATATAGTCTAGACTATATTTTACTATATAATCGAGTCTAAAGTTTTGACTATAGTCTTGACTTTATTCCAGTCTATAGTGTGTACTACAGTACTGTCTATGGTCTGAACCATAGTCTAGTTTATGGTCTGAACTATAGTCTGGACTATAGTCCAGTCTATAGTCTGGACTGTAGTCTAGTCTATTGTCTGGACTGTAGTTTAGTCTATAGTCTGGACTATAGTTTAGTCTATATTTGGACTATAGACTAGTCCATAGACTGATCTATACTTTATTCTATATTTGGACTATAGTCTAGTCTACTCTATAGTCCGAAGTATAGTCTAGTCTATAGTCAACAGTATATTGTAGTCTAGTATATAGTCTGGATTATAGTCTAGTCTATATTCTGAACTGTAGTCTAGTCTATAGTCTATATTTGGACTAGACTGATCTATACTTTAGTCTATATTTGGACTATAGTCTAGCCTGTAGCCTGGACTATAGTCTACTCTATAGTCCGAACTATAGTCTATAGTCAGCAGTATATTGTAGTCTATAGTCTAGCTAAAGTCTGGACAATATTCTAGTATATAGTCTAGTCTATATTTTGGACGCAAGTCCAGTCTATGGTCTATATTATAGTCTAGTCTATAGTCTGGACTACAGTCTAGGCTATAGTCTGGACAATAGTCTATTCTATAGTCAGGACTAGTCTGGTCAATAGTCTAGTCTATATTCTGGCCTATAGTCTAGTCAATAGTCTGGACTATAGTTTAGTCTAGTACACAGTATATAGCCCAGACTGTAATCTGTAGTCTAGACTATACTCTGGACTATAGTCTAGTCTATACTCTGGACTATAGTCTAGTCTATACTCTGGACTATAGTCTAGTCTATAGTCTGGACTATAGTCTGGACTATAGTCTGGACTATAGTCTAGTCTATAGCCTGGACTATAGTCTAGTCTATAGTCTGGACTATAGTCTAGTCTATAGTCTGGACTATAGTCTAGTCTATAGTCTGGACAATAGTCTAGTCTATAGTCTAGTCTATAGTCTGGACTATAGTCTAGTCTATAGTCTAGTCTATAGTCTGGACTATAGTCTAGTCTATAGTCTGGACAATAGTCTAGTCTATAGTCTAGTCTATAGTCTGGACTATAGTCTAGTCTATAGTCTAGTCTATAGTCTGGACTATAGTCTAGTCTATAGTCTAGTCTATAGTCTGGACTATAGTCTAGTCTATAGTCTGGACTATAGTCTAGTCTATAGTCTAGTCTATAGTCTGGACTTAGTATAGTCTATAGTCTAGTCTATAGTCTGGACTTAGTCTAGTCTATAGTCTGGACTATAGTCTAGTCTATAGTCAAGCCTATAGTTTGGACTATAATCTAGTCTATAGCCTGGACTATAGTTTAGTCTAGTTTGTTCTATAGTCTAATCTGTAGTCTGGACAATAGCCTATTCTATAGTCGAACTATAGTTTAGTCTATAGTCTAGCCCATAGTTTAGTCTATAGTATTAACTATAGTCTCGGCTATAGTCTGGTCTATAGCCTAATCTATAGTCTGGACTATAGTTAATCTAGTCTATAGTCTGGACTATTTAGTCTAGGCTATAGTCTGGGCTATAGTCTAATCTGTAGTCTAATATATACTCTGGACTGTAGTTTAGTCTATTGTCTGGACTATAGTCTAGTCTATAGTATGGATTATAGCCTAGTACATAGTCAGGACAATAGTCTAGTCTATAGTTTGGACTATAGTCTAGTTTAGCCTCGTCTATAGTCTAGTTTATAGTATGGTCTATAGTCCAGTCTATATTCTGGACTATAGTGCAGTCTATAGTTGGCACTATAGTGTAGTCTATAGTTGGGACTATAGTATAGTCTATAGTCTGGATGATATTCTGATACTATTAGTAAACTTATGTTTACTTCAGGTAAACTTTAGTCTCTACCAAGTAAACTTTAATCTCTACCATGTAAGCTTTAGCTTACTGTGTAAATTTGACATGTAACTAATGAATTTTCCCTATAAACTCTTTATAAATATGATTGATTTATTATTTACATTTTGTTAACCATTGTTTACACCATGTAATTTATGTTCAGTTCGTTACAAAAATTTATTATTTATTTTGAAAATAGATAAATCAACAAAATTTATAAATTTCCTTGTACACATTAACAATTAATTAGCAAATTTTAGCACATGTAATGGGTAAACAATTTGTGTTGCTAACGTGTAAGAAAATTCCAATATTTTAGTTTTTCCAACTAATTATTAATCATGGCAACACATTAAATGCACTGTAATTAAAACAAAATTTTTGGTTTTAAACTTGAACACAGCAAACAAGAAAGGAAAAAAAAGTTGGTTTTTTGTCTGTCTAGTGCGTTACACTTGAAAAAAGATTTGGGTCAGTGTTTAAAATTTTGTGTTTTTTTTTAACAAAAAATTTTTCATTGTTAGTTAAAGTAGTTAAATATAGTTGAAATCAAATATTTGTGTATTATATAATTTGGTAATACAACATTAATAGCTTTGTTGTTGTTGTTGTTAAAATGTCAATGTTTAAAAGAACAACTAGATTGCAAGTTGACACTCAAAATTGGAAATTCTAGTTCTGGGTTTTGGGTTAACCAACAAAAACAAAACCTATAAATGTCAAAATGACATTTCTAAATGAAGTTAAATAACTTTTAATAACAATATAATGAAGAAAAACTACAAAGAGGTGCTGAATTAAATTTACTCAACCTAATATAAAGAAAAAACATAAAAAAATCATGTTGCGGTTTGTTAGGTTTTGTTTACATACTTATGTATTTATATACATATAGAAACATAAACAGCAGTTAATACAAACTATACTTAGTTACTTATATTACATGTTGTATTTCCTGTGGTATGTAAGCAAAAACAAATAAAAAAAAAAACAGAAAAAAAATATTAAATAAATAAAATATGTATGTAAAGAAAACATTATTACACAACATTGTTCATGATAGTTATACATACAATAAATACATATGTACATGTTTACATACATATGTATGTATTTCTATCATGAAAGTGTTTGGTGTTATGTATTAAAGAAAACCTTATGTTGATTTTCTTTAAGAAAACTTTATGATGTGGAAATAGAAGAATAATTATTGTGGAGGTCTTCTATACTCAATGACAGGGACATCAATGAGCCATAACGTACAAGGTCAAGTTCAATATTTACCTAAAGTAGAATAATTTTTCATAGAAATATTAAATGGAGTGGAAAATTTAGGAAATTTAACAACAAACTCTTTCAAATCTAGAGATATTTCTAATAAAGTACATGTTATAGACTAGATTAGAACCTTATTTACACAGTAAAGTAAAGTTTACTTGATGTAAAGTAAAGTTTAATTAAGGTAAATAGATGTTTGACTGGGTCTAACTACAGCTTACTAACGAAAAACCTAAAAATGATGATGTAAACAATAGTTTACATGGTGTAAACAATAGTTTAGACGGTGTAAACAATAGTTTACATAGTGTAAACGGTAGTTTACATAGTGTAAACAGTAGTTTACATAGTGTAAACAATAGTTTACATAATGCAAACAATAGTTTACATAGTGTAAACGTTAGTTTACGTAGTGTAAATGGTAGTTTACTTAGTGTAAACATTATTTTACATAGTCTACATAAATTTCATAGTGTAAACAAGAGTTTACATAGTGTAAACAGTAGTTTACGTAGTGTAAACAATAGTTTACGTAGTGTAAACAATAGTTTACATAGTGTAAACAGTAGTTTACAAAGTGTAAACAGTAGTTTACATAGTGTAAACAGTAGTGTAAATAGTAGTTTACATAGAAACAGTAGATTACATAGTGTAAACAATAGTTTGCTTAGTGTAACCAATAGTTTACATAAAGTAAACAATAGTTTACATGTAGTGTAAACAATAGTGTAAACAATAGTTTACGTAGTGTAAACAATAGTTTACATAGTGTAAACAGTAGTTTACAAAGTGTAAACAGTAGTTTACATAGTGTAAACAGTAGTTTACATAGAAACAGTAGTTTACGTAGTGTAAACAATAGTTTACGTAGTGTAAACAATAGTTTACATAGTGTAAACAGTAGTTTACAAAGTGTAAACAGTAGTTTACATAGTGTAAACAGTAGTTTACATAGAAACAATAGTTTACATAGTGTAAACAATAGTTTGCTTAGTGTAACCAATAGTTTACATAAAGTAAACAATAGTTTACATGGTATAAACTTCAGTTTACATTGTGTAAACATTATTTTACATAGTTTACACAGATTGCATAGTGTAAACCATAGTTTCAATAATGTAAATTATACTTTACATGTTGTAAACAATGGTTTACATAGTGTAAACAATAGTTTACATGGTGTAAACAATAGTTTACATAGTGTAAGTAATAGTTTACATAGTGTAAAGAATAGCTTATTTAGTGTAAACAGTACTTTACATTGTATAAACAATAGTTTACATAGTGTAAACAACTGTTTACATGGTGTACACTTCAGTTTACATAATGTAAACTTTAGTTTTCACAATGTAAATGATAGTTTACTTTGTGCAAGTAATAGTTTACATTGTGTTAACTTTATTTTATATAGTTTACACAGATTACATAGTGTAAACCATAGTTTTAATAATGTAAATTATACTTTACATGTTGTAAACAATGGTTTACATAGTGTAAACAATATAAACAATAGTTTACATAGTGTAAACAATAGTTTACATATTGTAAACAATAGTTTACATAGTGTAAACAATAGTTTACATAGTGTAAACAATAGTTTATATAGTTTAAACAATAGTTTAC